GTGAATCAGATCCGAACCGGATCCTCCTCAGAACCGAACCGGACCCTCCTCAGAACCGAGTCTGCTGCTGGATCAGAACCAGGGACCGACCTCAGTCCGACTCGGTTCCGGTGCTGTCCTCCACGGTACAGGCCGCCAACTCTCCGCTGGGGAACTTTGACCTCAGGGCCCGCTTCCTGTTGTCATGGAAACCAGACAGCGTCAGAGGCTGCGGGCGCGCAGGCGCAGAGGACAAGGCGGCTCACCTGAAGTTGGGCCGACTCAACGTGAAGAACCCGCCGTCCGGCTGCTCGTCCTGCAACAGGAGAAAAGAGTTCGGCTGAGACCCGGTCCGTTTCCTCCGCGCTCCGGTTCCGGTGTTACTACGTTACCCATGATGCAGCGCTGCTGGGCCTGTGCTCCGACTCTCTGGGGCCCCCTGCTGGAGAGCCGTGATCCTGCGGCGGAGCGGCCGGCTCCTCGTTCTCCCCCGACGTCCCGCTGGGAACCTCCTCGCTGCTGCCTGGACCACCAGAACCAGAACCAGAACCGGACAGTCAGAGCAGCGGAATGGACCGGGCCGCCTTTCCTCAGCAGCCGCAGCCTCCAGCATGAAGGTACGTAAAGGGAGAGCGCCCCCTGTCTGCAGGCGCTCCTCCTCACAACAACACTTCAGGTTTTAACCAGGTTTTAACAGCTGCTGCAGCAGGTGAGGAGCTGCAGCAGGTGAGGAGCTGCAGCAGGTGAGGAGCTGCAGCAGGTGAGGAGCTGCAGCAGGTGAGGAGCTGCAGCAGGTGAGGAGCTGCAGCAGGTGAGCAGCAGCACTGCTGCAGCTCCTCACCTGGTCAGACAATAAACTCTGCTATGTGATCCAGTTGCCCTGGAGACCGACCAGTGAGGATTTAAACACTTTTATGATTTTCCACAAAATGTCAAAATAATGTTGGTTAAAACACTGATCAGTTTTAATTATTCATATCAAACAGTTTGAGCCAAAATACGTCAGAAATATCCTCCAGGAGAATCAACTCATTAACATTTAAACACAAAGACGCAGCTTCAATGTTGCAGAACCGGACCGGACCGGACCGGACCGGACCGGGTCATCAAGGTCATTTCTGTTAGCAGCTTTATTATCTTTACATTATATTATAAAGACTCATTAAAACAAACTTTATCTTGTTTTTTCTATTCTTCTCCTTTGTGAGAATAAAATAACTAACTTATCAGAGATAAGTTAGTTATTTTATTAACTTATCAGAAGATAAGTTAGTTATTTTATTAACTTATCAGAAGATAAGTTAGTTATTTTATTAACTTATCAGAAGATAAGTTAGTTATTTTATTAACTTATCTTCTGATGGACCTTTGGATGAAGCGTGCGGTACCTACCGCGACCACCAGGGGGACTAGAGCAATTTATTTTCTTTTTATCAATAAGATAATGATTTCCAGATGCATCATATTATTGTAAAAACAAATCACTTCATAGTGAGATTGTGTGTTTTTGATATTATAATGAGGGGCCCTTAGTGGCTGCTTTGTTTGCTTATGGCTTGGGCCGGCCAGGACTATTTTGGCGCCTCCACGTGTCACCATCTGAACCTATGACATCATATTTCTGTCTTCATCAGACAAAATGAAACATGGTGAAAAGTTTCTGACCTTTAGCGGCGCTCTCGTCCTCCTCGCTGCTCACGTTCCTCTCAAACTGTTGAAGAAAGCGCCGTCATTACGTCATCATTGCATCATCGTTACATCATCAACCTGTCCCCCCACCTGCTGGGAGTTGAAGGTTATCTTGCGGAGGCGTGTCCTCAGCTGAAGCTCCTCCCCCTGTGACCTCAGCAGCAGCAGCTCCAGCTTGTCTGTTTTCTCGGCCAGCTGCTGGACGCGCTCCCTGTACCGGTCCTTCTCCTGCAGGTGTAGCCGCGCCTCCTCCTGCTGCTGCGCCTGCGCCACCAGAGCCTGGACACCACCCACAGTCAGTGACATCACCGTCCTCCTCCTCCTCCTCCTGCTCTTCCTCCTCCTGCTGTTCCTCCTCCCCCTCCTCCTCCTCCTCCTGCTCTTCCTCCTCCTCCTCCTCCTCCTCCTCACCTTGTCCCTCTCTCGGATCACCTCCTCCAGCTGCCGGACCGTCTGCTTGCTCTGCTGCCGGTACATCTTGGCGTCTCCTTTCAGTTGGGTGCAGCGGAGGCTCAGCTCCTCCTTCTCCTCCACAGTCTGAAACAAACACACGTTTCTGTCTGGGCCCTGAATGCATCACAGCTGGAAAAAGATGAACTTGTATGTGTCCATGAACGCAGCATTCACAAACACCTCAGAGTTCATCATGAAGCATTTAGGATTGATCCTGGAGAGAAATGCACCTGAACGCATCACCAAAGCTTCCCTGAACGCATCATATGTTTCCCAGCTTCTGATCCTCAGGAAGTCCTAACTTTACTAATCGATTATTCTGATATGAAAATGATCAATTATTCTAAGAAATATTCTGCATCTAAACCTTTTTATACCACATTAGAAATACATTAAAAACTCAACTAACACTTATAAAAAAAAAAAAAAAAAAAACATTTCATTTTCTTTAAGTGAATAAAGTTGGTTTAGTCCAGTCCGCTCCGCTCCGGCCCCTCACCTTTGACCTCTGCTCCTCGGCCTTGTGCAGCTCCCTCCTCAGTCTGAACACGGTGGTCAGGAGGTTCATCTGTGGAGACGCGCGGCCGTGCTTCTGGCCCTCCTTCAGCTCCTCCCTCCTCTCCAGCTTCTTCTCCTCCTGCTGCTCCTCCTGCTGTTTCCCCTGAGGCGGCGCCTCCTGCTGCGCCTCCTGCTGCGCCTCCTGCTGCGCCTCCTGCTGCTCCTCCTGGTCGTTGAGTTGAAGAAAGGCGTCAGAGGGCGGAGTCAGGATTCTGCTCTGGAAGATCGGCTCACGTTAATCTGAGCTGCAGCTTGAGGGAAAATCACAGCAAAATGAAAACAGAAACACAGTGATGTCATCAAACCAACATGGAGGACACCTGTGAACTCTGACCCTGAACGCATCACACCATGGCACAGCACGGTGGTGGCGGCATCATGGGAAGCTGGTCGGAGCTGAAACTGGAGGAGTTCACGACCCGAAGAGGATTTTATGAAATATTTTAATGTTTCTTAGTGAAATATTCCTGTAACCATCACCTGAGCACAGATGATGGTCCAGTCAAAGTAACAGGTCAGCGTACCACAGACTGGATATAACTGAAACCATTTGGTGGAAAATTAGAAAGTGATTTTAGCACAAACAGGAAATGAACAGCTGCTGGTCACATGACCAACTTCCTGTTTGATGTGGAAGCAGAAACGCATCAGGAGGAAAACGGACCGGACCAGATCAGACCGAACCGGATCAGATGGACCGGACCGGGTCAAACGAACCGGACCGGGTTAGGAGGATCGGACCCGGTCAGATGGACCGAACCGGGTCAGAAAGATCGGACCGGGTCAGATGGACCGAACCGGGTCAGCCGGATCGGACCGGGTCAGACGGTTCTCTTTGGTTTTCTGAAAACATTCAGGATCATCCAGAGTTTTTCTGTTTGCTGGGAGGAAAAATGAAAGTTTCTTTCCACCAGAACCAGATGTTTCCAGAACCGAACCGGTCCGGCTGATGAAGCTGTGAGTTCTGGCCCGGCGGGTCGGTACCTGCTGCAGCGGCCTCATGGTCCTCCGTTTCAGCAGCCGCGTCTCGCTCTCCGCCCGCAGCACCGTGTGCTTCAGACGCTCCACCTGCACACAGGGGTCAGAGGTCAGCGGGGCGCCTGCGGGCCGGGCTCGGAGGGTCAGAGGTCAGCCCACCTCTATCTGCAGGTCCCTGTTGGCCAGCAGCGCGTTGCTCTTGTCCTGCGTCAGGCTGGTGACGTCGGCCATCAGGTTGTAGTTGTGGAGGCGGAGCTTCTTCAGCTCCTCGGTCAGCTGCTCGCGTTCCTCACGCAGCTTCTGCACGCGCTCAGTCAGCTTCTTCAGCTCCCGCTCCTTCAGCTTCTGCTGCCGGGACCACGCCTCCTGCATCACACACCCGGGTCAGCCACACACACACACACACACACACACACACACACACACACACACACACACACAGCGCTGGCCGCGGGTCAGCGGTCGCAATGCCAACCTGTTCCTGGGCCGCGGAGCAGGCCTGCTGGCGCCGCCGCCGCTCGTCCTGCAGCACCCTCTGCAGGCGGCTCAGCTCCGACATCAGGAACTGGGTCAGGCCCGATTCTCCCGCAGTGTCTGGACCAACAGAACAGAAGGCGTCAGAGCGGGCGGGTCCAAACGGGCGGGTCCAAACGGGCCGGCTCAGGACCCGGACCGACCGATCAGGATGCTGAAGGTCTTGTTGGGCTCCTTCCCCGTGATGCGGCTGTACAGCTGGGGGTAATCCAGCTCCAGGCTCTCCAGGAACGCCGTGTACCCCTTCATCCCGGTCCGCTGCAGCATGTCCAGCAGGGCGCCTGCACACACCAGTCAGACCGGTCAGACCAGTCAGACCAGTCAGACCGGTCAGACCAGTCAAAGCCACTGGAAACACACCAGGTGATGGAGAAGAAGAAGTGAAAGTGAAGCAGGAAGCAGCTTCTGCAGCGTTACATCAGATCAATAAATCATATTCCAACAACTTCCACATTCATGATCACTTGATGTGATGCTTCAATAAGACCGGACCCACAGAACCATCATCAAACCCAATCTGTTCCCCTCCATGAATAATCCCACACAGATTATTCATTCTGCGTTTGCTGCAGCGTTTGCTGCAGCGTTTGCTGCAGCGTTTGCTGCAGCGTTCTCTGGTTCTTTGTCTTTTTCTTGACAGAAATGTTTCCACTTCATTTCAGCCAAACTATAAATTTAACAGCCAATCAGAAATATGAGCGTAATAAATATTATTTCATTAAATTGAAGAGATTTTAACTTCATGATTGAAAAGCAGATTAGTTTTTATATAATCATCTTTTCACCCAGTTAACATCTGAACTAAATCT